AAAAGAAAAGAAAAGAAAAGAAAAGAAAAGAAAAGAACAGGCCAGAGAAAAGGGATCACCTGACACTAGTGGAATGTAATCAGGGACTCATTTAAGGTAGAAATGGCCAAATTCTTTTGATGTTTACAGATTTTAAACATCCATTACCATTATCTGCTATAAATTATAACCCTGCTGGAAAAGCATCAATCTCATTTTATAAACAAAAGATTTTCAGTCCAAAAATGTGAATGTACCTGCTCAAATTCTTTTATCCATGCAGTATAGAGAAAGGAGTTACACTTAGGGTTTTCAATATTCATTTCTCATTGTATTGTGGCTATAATATGCTCCATTTCCAGAGATGGTTAAACCATTAAATAGACCAGAATTACACAAAAAATATTTAATAAGAATGTAAACTGAGGGCTGGAAAGATGGTTTAGTGGTTAAGAGTACTGGTTTATCCTGCAGAGGATCTGGGTTTAGTTCTTAGCACTTACACTGCAGCTAGCAACCACCTGTAACTCCAGTTTTCAGGGGATCCAATACCTTCTTCTGGATTCTGTGGGCACCACATGCACATAGTGTACTTACATAAGCATGGTCAAAACACTCATATACATAAAAAAATTAAAAATATTACGAGATTTAAAAAAAGAATGTGAACTGACAGAAAGTGATATGACAATTTTTAAGTAAAGTTTTAAGAATAAGAATTTCCTTACAGATAGTTCATCTTTTGTTGACCATAGTGATTCTTTCTTGAGCTCATTTTTCTTCTCTAGTTCATCTTCTTGCTAAAATAATGTTATTCATCGATGTTATTAATAACTGTTCTTAAAACCTTAAAATAATAATGCTCTGACCCAGTTATCTGATAAGCACCTGTCCTAAAGAAATTATAAAATAAAAATAAGATGTAGAAATATATTTTCCAATATGAGATGCAAAGAACTGGAAGCCATCTAAGTAAATATAAATTACATAAGTAGAGAATAGTCATAACTTAACACAACATACATAAACTTATAAATCATGGCTAGAAAACTGTATTAACAGTTTATCTGAAGTCTGAAAAATAAGATTTTATAAAGAAAATACTATGTCTGGGATGGTAGGATATCAATAAACTGTTGATCCACTTTCCTTTAGTCTATAAGCATTCACAAAGATCTTAAGATAAATACTTAAAATGATAAAAAAAAAAATCAGAGTTAAGAATAACCTCACATTGAGTAAGGCTGGTTAGCTGCATTAATTTCCCAGCCATGGCAATATACTGTTGTCATTAAGCTGCCCAAGTAATTAGGTAGAATCAGTTCAGGGCACATGGACTCTATACCATTTCTTTCATCTATATGTGAATCGTCAATTATCTCAAAATAAAAAGTTTCTTATACCTTACACTGAAAGTAAAAACCTTTTATAAGTAGATTCTTGCTAAAAGCAGCTTAGTGCTAGAATACAGTGCTCTAACTTTTACTTTAAAGTTTATTGCAATCAAATTGCAGTTTACACTCTTTACTCCTGCATTGTATTTTTGCTTTACAATGTTCAAAGTTTTAAAATAGTAAAATAAAAATAATTATGCTGTAAAATCATGCACCAAAATAAGTAATTATATTGTCTGATATCACTATCATGTAACCCTTAGATATTAAATGAAAGGGCAGGGCTTTTCTGGTTCACAAAAGGCTGTTTAGTGGTGCCATGTCAAGAAGTGCATGATGCTCAGTTCTTATCTTTTCCTCTCTGGGCTCTAATGACCAATACCCTGGGTCACAGGCTCTGAGAGAGTGTACAACAACAGTAGGTATTGAGGACTAGTAAGTAAAAACACAGATCTAAGAGTTTTGTGACTTAAACCACAATCATTTCTCCACAGATCTGTGTTCACTGTGAGCAGCAGACCAATTTGTAGTAGAATTTAAGGAAAAGAGGGCTATATAAAAAAAAAAAACCAGGTGTGGCGGCACATGTCTATAGTCCCAGCACTCGGAGGTGAAGGCAGGAAGATCAGAGGTTCAGGGTCATCCTTGGCTACGTATTAAATTTGAGACCCTGTCTCAAAAAATAATTTACTTACAGGTATTTTGTCATTTTCTGGCACTGTTTCACCATTAAAATTATTACTTCTTTCTATATCCGCCCTTAGCTTTTTTCTGACATTGACACCTTCATCTTGTTTTTCAACCTTCACTTGGACTGCTAGCTCTGGCTTTGTATTCTTGAGTAACTGTCCCAATACTTCATCTTCTATGGCCAAATGAAGTTCTTTTCTTTTATTTGATTTTAGGCTTTCTATAGAAAAAGCTTTACTGGCAGAATTTTCCACACTGGATTTTAAATCTGTATCATCCATAAGTAAGTGGTGTGCTTTTTTGTCCAGAGGCTCCTCCTGAGATGGACAGTCCTTATTTCTCCACAGTGAGGGTACAGCAGGCTGGGTTTGTTCTAAAAGAGAACAAGACATTTCCATTCTTGATGATTTACATGAAGACATTTCTTGATCTTCTTCCTCCCTTTCCCTTAGATTTAAAAGAGAAAACAAAATCAGAAAACAAACACAAATGAGGAATTTTGTTTAATTTGTAGTATTTACTAATCACTCCATTTAACTCACAACATTCTCTGGCTTTTATTAACAATATCACTGCAAATCAAACCTTTGAAATGGTACATAATTCATATTCTTGCTACTGTTTTTACAGGACTGATGGATCCTATGATTAAAACAATATGGAGAGTCCTATCTTTTCTGCTAAAGTAGAATTAATCAATAAATAGTGTGAGGGAAAAGAAAAATACAAAAATACAGAGAATCTAGTGATAGAAGACAGCAGTGTACTTAGTAGTGCATGGAACTTTGGCAATGAAAACTTAACCTGGGAATATAACCTGATGGGTTCATTAGAGCTGGAGTCAAGATAATAAATCAAAGGGGTCCAATCTAGAATGCAGCACCAAGTGCATACTGTAAATACTATGTGACTTTGTCACTAAAGTACTCCATACAACAGGCTGTCATTCAGTTAGTAAAGTACTGAACCTTGTTTATGCAAATTTTACAACAGTCCAGAGGACGCACACTTGGTTCTGTACAGTAAGATTTTTTGTTTTAATTTTTAAATTGTATATGCATTTGTGTGGATATATGCACATAAGTGCTGGTGCCTGAGACATCAGTTTCCCCTGCAGCTGGAGTTAGAGGTGATTATGAGCCACCCATTTGGGTACTGGGAACCGAAATCCCGGAGCCATCTCTCCAGCCCCTGGCAGTTAAAATGAAAAATTCTTTCAAAGACACAGTTGAGGAGTTGGAGTTATTAAAAAGTATACCTTTTTTTGGTACATGGCTGAAAGTAGTTTCTGATGGAGTTCTGTTGCTGCTGAGAAAAACAATCTCTATTTTTATTTACAGCTGCATATTTTCTTGGTGAAAGCTGATAGTTTGGGATTTTTTCCCTAACCAGAGTATTTGATACTATATTATTATTTTTGGAGTTTGGATTGGGAGGTTCCTTCATATTAGATGTTTCTTGTGAATGCATTTTGAAGTGTTGTTGCATTCCAGAAATCTTTGTTTCTTTTGGTCTTTCACTCAAAGACACACTGTGGGAAAAAGAATGAAAAGTAAACAATTAGGAGTAATTTTTATCTAAAAACAAAGACCTTTAAATGTTCTGATAAATCTAACTTCAGGTTAGATAGTAATTCAGTGAGTGTATTTTATCATTCCAAGAAAGTAACACACTTGTCATCTAAGTCCCTGGAAGAAGGACACAACTTCCTCTCCATCCTGGCAGGACATACTGTCTGCCAGGTTCTCCATTACACTAGTGTTCTACTGAACATTAAACCAGGTGGTAACCTGATGTAATTTTTGTTTTATTTATACATTTTAAAAGTATTTTCATGTAAGTGTTATAATATAGAAAATCAGGAAAAACTCCTAATACTCTAGAGCTAAATATAATGGCATATTTAAATTACCTTGGCTAGACTGAGATGATTCTATCTAACCAGATGGTAAGTCTCTAGTATTGAACTCTAGACTACCAGGAAATATTTTAAAGCAAGCACAGGGGCTGGAGAGCTGGCACCACCATTAAAGGCTCAGGTTCACAACCAAAAAGGCTAGAGTTCAGTTCCCAGCACCCATGCTTGTCTGTCCAGCTACCCTTTTGAGCTGGGCATGGTGGCTCAAGCATTTAATCCAGCACTAGGGAGGCAGAGGCATGTGGATCTCTGTAAGTTCAAGGCCAGCCTAGTCTACAAAGCTAGTTTCAGGCCAACTGGGGCTACAGGGAGAACCTGTCTCAAAAAGACCGAAATAAATAAATGAATAAATAAATAAATAAATAAATACACACTCTAAAAAATATTGTTGAACAGACCAAAAATAAATAAAATTGTCTTTCAAGCAGCTACTAAAACATTAGTTGCTTCTTTTAATTAAGAATTTTCACCCACAATAGTAAAATTTAATATGAGAGTTATATTAAGTATCTTAATATGAATACTTTGTTATGGACTATTTAAATAAAACATGTCTTAAATGGAAACTATCATAGGATACAAAAAAGTTAACCCTTTCTTTAAAAAAAAAAAAAAACAAAAAAGATATGGAATTCTTCAAATAAGAGAACCCTCAAAAAGCTCCTCGTAAGAGTAAATATTAACTATTTAGATAGCTAGGTCAATGTATAAAGTATTTCCAAAATTATAATATTTAATTACACATATTATACAAACAAATACATTTACAATAATATCCCTGTCTGTGAGACCCCCTAGGAATTTGATGTCTGAAGTCAATGATAGTTCCAAACTCCATAAATACATTTCTATATACACATACCAATGTTAGGTTATGAATTAGGCAGAATAAGAGATTAATAGTAATAACTAACAAGACAGAAAAATTGTAACACACAATAATACAAGTTACATGAATGAGGTGTCTCCCAAAACATCCTACTGTACTAGATTCACCCTTCTCGGGCTATGAGATAAAATAATCACTAAGGAGAAAGATGAAGTGAGATGCTTTAGGCATTGAGATGTTGCATTATGCTACTACATCAAGATTACTTGTGCATAAGCACTGCAACACTAAGACAATCCAATAACAAGCATGCTCCTAGTGTGGACACACTGAACAAAGGGATAATGCACAATGAGGTAGTACACCAAGAGATTTCATCATGCTACTAAGAAGCATAACTTAAAACTTAGGAATTATTGTTGGTTTTAGAAATTTTCCATTCAATACTTTTGGACAATACTTTACTATGGGTAATTAAAAGTACATGTAAGTGGGGGCTACTGTATTTCAAACATTTCATCAGTCACAAATAAAATATTCTTTTTACTTTTCCATGTACATTTGCAAAGAATGAAAAAAGTTACTGTAAGAGTAAAACTACAGTTTGCAACCAAATCAGCCTCACTCCTTCAGTTGTATGCCCTCTATGGCACTTTTATTCTACAATGGCAAAGCTAAGTAGCTATAACACAGACAAACAGCTTACACTTCCATAAGATTTACTTGGTGGTACTTTAAAGAAAATTTTCTGATCCCTGTGAAAGATACCATTTTCTCTGGCATCCAGTCCTAAGAGATGACTTAATAAAGGCACCAACTCTATTTCTTGAATATACTTTCAACTGATAAAATAATGATAGGAGCTTAACAAAGAAGCTTTACTGTGTATCTGCTTGCTCTGATTCTGTGTCGGCCACATATGATGTAGTATTCTTTGCAGCACTTGGCATTATTTTTCCACTGACTGACAAGCCTTGGGAGAGGCTTGGTCCTGACGTTGTAGTCTTTAATTCTGTAAATCACACAAGTGGAAAGAAAGAAAAAAGTCATAACCAATACATGTACAAAGGATATTTGATCACTGCTGACTGTTAAGACTGCCACACTGAGGTGACTAACTGGGTATTACAGCTAATGGTTGTCTTCAATTAGTGGAGCCAACAAATATCCAGTGAGCAGCCTGCTGTCACCTAGGACAGAGATTTCCTTAAACAAATGAGTTTAAAACTACATCAAATTCTTTACTATGAAGTATTAACAACTTAAATAAAATCAACAAATCCTAGTTCCCAAATGCTTTTTTAAGTCATAGACTGAAATATTGCATTTTTTATGGACAGAAAATTTATCTACCATATCACCGGTACAAAGCGAGCCAATGTGAGTTTTATTTTTAGAAGGAACGTATTTGAAATGAAGACACATAGCACCATTTTAGGCAGACCTTTTTAGCTACTCTATTTAGAAAACCATAATGATCATTTCATCATTGATTTGCTAAAATAGCAACTTAGTTCAAATACCACTTAAGGAGATCTGTACTTTATTTTTACCTTCCCACATTGACTTAGATGCTCACTGCTGGTCCCATACTATTCTACAAGTCACTTTAGTAATGATTCATTTATGTGTGACCTGAGTTATTTAACTTCTTGTACTTTTGTTTCTTTACCCATAAAATGGAAACAATTATAAAAACCTCAAGCTGTTTTCAGGGCAAAATAAGATGCTATGCGGATAGCATGTAGGAAAACACTGAGAGCTCAGAAAGCACTGCAATGTAAGCTATGCATACTGTCACAACTGTGCTTGCTCCCTTCTCCCATTAGACAGAATCACCTTGAGAACAGTTTTTTTTTTTTTTTCCCTGTAAAAGCAACAAAATGAAACTGATAGGACATGTTATTTCTAAAAAGATTTCTAAGTTATGGGGAATATCCTAACATAAGGCTATATTTAGGAATCTACATTACTTTTCTTAAAGGATGAATAATCTTTAGCTTCAGACCCTAAGGATAAATTCTCAGAATGGTTGTCATAAACTTTGGGGAAATATTAAGCATAACGCAATTCTAGAAAAATAAGTTATTTGGACATGTTTAAAACTTCACAAGCACTTAAAACTATACGTGCTTGAGCTGGGTGTGGTGCCACATGCCTTTAATCCCAGCATTTGGGAGGCAGAGGGAAGCAGATCTCTGTGAGACTGAGGCCAGTCTAGTCTGCACAGCAAGTTCCAGGCCTCATGTGGCCATAGGGAGGCCCTGTCTCAAAAAACCAAAACTAAACTAAAACAACAACAAAACAAAAATATATGTGGTGAAAGTTACTCAGTGGGAGGGGAAAGTAGTATCAATCAAACATACTTCACGTAACACATTAAGCTATAAGCACTTGTGCTGGGCATCGCAGCACATGCCTTTAATCCCAAGCACTGGGGAGGCAAAGGTAGTCTGATCTCTGAGATCAAGGGCAGCCTGATTTACATAGTGAGTTCCAAGTCAGCCAGATTTGTATAGTGAGACCCTGTCTAAAAAAAAAAAAAAAAGCACTGAAGTGTAATATCAAGATAACTATAATTAATTTGAATCAATTACTACTCACTTTGTGAACAATGATTAATACACTAACCTCTCTCTACTTTAGTCCCTTCATTTATACAATAAATATAGCATCCTCTTATCTTAAATAAATTGTTTTTTGGAATGATGCATGTAAAATTCTACTCTAGCTTCTGTATACTTAGGGGACAGCAGTTATCATTACTAATCATTATTACTAATGATCTATATATACTTAGTTAATTCCTGATCTTTAAGCCCTAAGTGGCTCACTCCTTATAAATTCTAGTTGAACATATTACCTATCCACTTAAACCAAGGTTACAGAATACGTAAAAGTTAAACTGCCCAAATTCACAGGTACTGTTCAGTGAACTACTGTGTAAATGAAGCCCAAAGTATAGTAAGGAGGGCTGTTCTCTCTTGTCTATTAGCAAAAGTTCAAAAACTACTCAAGAAAGTAGGCAAATAAAGTTATTTGGAAAAATAAATGTAAAAGTTTCTAAAGTAGGAATAATAAATGAACTATGTTTATGATGGCCGTCAACTTGTTTCCAAAAAAAAGTACAAGAATATGCAGTCATCCTTAAGTATCCAGAAGACTGGTTCCAAGACACTTCCTCACAACAGATACTAAAATTCAAGTTCTTAAGCCCTTCATATAAAATGGTATAGTACCCGGTGTGGTGGCGCATGCCTTTAATCCCAGTACTCGGGAGGCAGAGGCAGGTGGATCTCTGTGCGTTCAAGGCCAGCCTGGTCTACATAGTGAGTTCCAGGGCAGCTGGGGCTACAGGGAGACCCTGTCTCAAAAAGACCAAAAAAATAAATTAATTAATTAAAATTTAAAAAAATGGTATAGTACCTATATATAAGCTCCTGACTACTTACAATGCCTAATACACTGTAAATGCTAAGTAAATTGTTGTTCCATTGTTTGACTAATAACAATTTTAAAAGTCTATACATACAGAGCCAATACTTTTTCCAAACTTTTTTTTCTTTTTTCTTTCTTTTATTGAAACAGGGTCTTGCTACACAGTCCAGGTTGGCCTGGCACTCACTATGTTCCTCAAGTTAGACTTGTGATCCTCCCTCCTTCATTCTAAATAATTTTGATTGAATTGGTAATTTGGTAAAACCTCTGGATACAGAGAACCAAATGTAACAAAGGGATAATACCCATCACTGAGTATATCCACACAGTTTTCTACTTATGTCTCTGCTTCTACTCTGGACTCCTAAAATCTATTTTCTATACCATCTAAGTCATCTGTTCCTTCTGCCTGAAATTCTATCCCAGATCGTCACATGGCTGCCTGGCTCTGGCAATGCTGTTTGCAGGAGGCCTGATGCGTCAGTGGAATCTTCCTTGATCTGCCTACAGCAGCCCTCTTCCAGTCACAGTTGGATGACCTTGTTAACATCCTCTTTTACCTGGCTGTATCTGCACTAGAAGGTGCACTTCTATTTGTTTACTTCTGAATCCTAGGCTTTGAAATGGGAAGTTCAAAAGATCAGGAATCATGTTTATATCATTCATTAATGAACCTTCAACAACTAGAAAAATGCCCAATTTTATGGCAGAACTACTTACTGAATGAAAATGAATGTATATATGAGACTGAAAAGGTGAATAGGGTCACATCTGCTAAGTAAAACCATAAGTACATATAGCCTATCATTAGTTTACATAAACAAACTTGCTAAAGAATCAATGCAATAATACTTTATTTACCTGTACAAGGTTTGCCTCGAGGATCACAGTAATTCTCTGTAGTCATGAAAATAACTGCCAATCCAATTTCTGCTTCAGGAATAGGTCTAAGACCCTGCCTATGAGAATAGAATAGTCTAAATATAATAACATTTCAGAATAGCTTAAATATGGCAACATTTTGAAGCTCACAACTTGCCAGGTGTGGTGGCTCAGCCTTTAATCCTAGCCCTCAGGTGGCAGAGGCAGGTGGATCACTGTGAGATCCAGGCCAGCCTGGTCTACACTTTGAGTTCCAGGCCAGCTGGGGATATAGGGAGACTCTGTCTCAAAAATATCAAAACAAAGAAAAATAAATAAATAAACAACTTAAAAAATATCAAGTTCAATCAACTTATTTTTCTTCTCAAAGAGCTACTAAAATTTTATGGCATGGACAGAATTTGAAATACATGGAACATTTCAAATTATTCACTAGGGCAGTATTATGTTGGGGCAAAGACACCACCTTAAAGCAACTTAGTTAACTTCACCAATAAAATAAAGATCTAGAACAAAGGATAAAGGTCTTTCTGGGTCTGAATTTCTACAACTTTCAGAAAATGTAAACAGTATTATCTAGATAGGACAACAAAACAAATCTATGATTACTATGATCCTAAAAGAAAGGCCAAGGAGGCAGAGAAACACAACCATGCATAAGCTATATCTACACATGTATATGAGTTTAGCAAATTGTCACTATTACACATTTCACATATTAAGGCATCTTTTGGTGGGAGGAGGGGTGGCAGAGTCTTGCTGTGTTGAAACTCACTGGTTGAAAACTCATAAACTCAAGCAATCCTTCAACTTCAGGCTGGCTTAAAGTATTCCATCAAAAGAATTTCATAGGGAATTTATTTGCTATGTTCTATAACATGAATGGATGATTTTATAAAACAAAGAATATTTAGTACAATTCAAAAATAATGCTGCCGGGTGTGGTGGCGCATGCCTTTAATTCCAGCACGTGGAAGGCAGAGGCAGGCGGATCTCGGTGAGTTCCAGGCCAACCTGGTCTACATAGTGAGTTCCAGGTCAGCTGGGG